GTGTAATCATAGAGGGAATATCCTCTGATTTGCAGGATAACTAACTCTGGAAAATATCATGGAGGGAATATCTTCTGGCGGCAGAATAACCAACTCTGTGTAACTAATTCTGGGGCTCTGTCGCCTGTCCTTTCTGCCTCCTTGAGAACTGCTGATGGGTACTGGCCTGCTCCACTCCCTTTGTTGGGTTTGGGGAAGGTATTTGGGTCTCAACAACACAGAACATAACGGAGAAACAAATTGGCGATGTGAAGCGAAAAAGTGAGAAACAAAAACATAATTGGATATAGGATGCAAAGTACAACTACGCTTACCTTTCCATTGTGCAATAGGAAGATCAAGATCAGAAGGCAACTTGGGTGTAGAAGAAACTGGATCTGCAGATGAAGTAGAAGCTGGAGGAGGTGCTGGTCTTTGTCGATGAGTATACACTTGGTGGATTGGTGGTCGTTCAGTATGATCCCGCACTAGAGGAGGTGGAGACTTAGTCACAACAGGAACAATGAGAATGGAATCATCAATTGGAAGGGGAAGAGGAAGAGGGACCTCTGTGGGAGAGAGAGACATTAACCTGAGAAGAACGACACATACTCAAAAAATGTAACATCAGGGCAAACAAATGACTTTCGAGTAATGGGGTGGTAGCATTTATACCCTTTCTGAGTCCTAGAGTATCCAAGAAAGATACACTTAATTGATCGTGCATCCAACTTATATAAACCAGGACTTAGATTATGAACAAAGCACACACACCCCAAGATCCTGGGAGTCAAGGGATATGGAGATAGAGTAGGAAACAAAATAGAAAACGGAGAACGACCGCCAAGAATGAAATTAAGGCATGCGATTAATGAGAAAACAAGCTGTAAGCACTGTATCACTCCAAAAGCGTTTAGGAACATTCATATAATGAAGGGACCGAGCTGTTTCAAGTAAATGTCAGTTCTTCCTCTCAGCCACCCCATTTTGTTGGGGGGTGGATGCACAAGATGTCTGATGAATAATGCCATGTTTCTCCAAATACTATTGAAATGAAGTAAGGAAATACTCTCTGCCATTGCCTGAACAGAGAATTTTAATTGGAACACCAAATTGTGTACGTATCTCAGCATGAAATTTTGGAAAATGGAGAATAATTCACTCTTTTCTTTCATTAAATAAATCTATGTCATTCTTGAACAGTCATTAGAGTAGTTGCTCAAGATTGAATAGACACTTAAAAGGAGAAGAAAAAAAATAAGAAAAGAAGAGGGAGAAAAGAGAGAGAGAGAGACATTTTGATAAAAGAGAGTTGGGTTGATGTGTTTAAACAGTCACCCCCCTCTTAAATTTATATACATAGTATCATACTTGTAAAAGGACTGAATTGCTTACATGGCAAGATAAGATAAAATAACAAGATAAGATAAGATAAGATAAAGCTGAAAAAAAGACTAATCCTAATCTTACCCTAATCTTATAAAAGACTAGTCCTAATCTAATCATAAAGAACTAATCCTAATCATAACTTATTGCTGACATACGAACAGTGG